ATGAGAGCTACTATGGAGAAATGAGCTCAGCTAGACACAGTACACTATGATAATTTACTTTTTCATTTTTGGGTATGCTCTCAGCAATCAACCATTTTTTTATCACACATTTGTTTTTCTTTTCCAGGTAGTACATATTTGACTTCATTGTAGTACAAAATTCTGTGTTTCTTCCTTTTCATCTCTTTTCATACTGGTCACTTCTTATAAATTGATGTCTTGAATTTTTAATCTCCTCAAATCTTTTTATTGTCTCCTACAAACAAAAAACAAAAAAAAAGAGGAAAAAAAATAAAGAGGAAAAAAAATCTGTCTATAAATTATCATATTCCTCAGTCTTTAGCCCTCATGATGAAATAATTTTATACTTGGTATACAGAGTTTTTATATATTTCATAAAATGTATTTATAAGTTCTATTATATCTTCCTATGAGCCTAATAGGAAGTAAACAAATCAGAATAAGCACTATATTTTCAAAAATCAAATCCAGGGATGGGGATTTCATAACTTGCCCGGGTAGCCTGTTCCAATGATTGACCACCCTTTCAGTGAAGAAATTTTTTTCTAATATGTAAACTAAACCTCTTCTGTTACAACTTGAAGCTATCTCCTCTCATCCTGTCACTTGTTGTCTGGGAGAAGAGACCAATCTCCACTTTACTACGACCTTCTTCCAGGTAGTTGTAGAGAGCAATAAAGTCCCACCTGAGCGTCCTTTTCCCCAAGCTAAACAGCCCAGCTCCCTCAACCACTCCTCATCAGATCTGTGTTCCAGACCCTTCACCAGCTTCCTTTCTCTTCTCTGGAGTGAAGGGCCCAAAACTGAATACTGATTCAAAGTGTGGTTAAAAGTCTTGATGGAAAATGTGAAAATCTCTAGATTAGGACGCAGGAGTGGAACTGTGAAAATGAGCTCCAAGAAAAGCTGAGGCACCGCCAACTAGCAAAGTGGGTTGGACATAAAATGGGAATTGGAAAAGGCTGTTGAGTTTTCTTTATTAAGATATGAGACAGACTGATCCTTCTCATGAATGGATGATCTGAAGAAGCAGGAGAATAGCTGTCTTCTTTTCATCTTAGTGTTACTGTTATTACTCCATACTAGTTCTTCTTACATTTATGACATTTCCTTGCCTCCTACGGCACTCTGACACACAGAGGAGCCCCCAGGTTTCCATTAATACATTAACCCCCCAAATGTGGTATGTGTGAGATACTTTTCCCTTTTCTTTGATGCGTGGAGGCATTATTTCTACCAAGGTAAGTACAGTCTGTAAAGCAAAACTCCAAGAGGTGTCTTCAGCCCAGTAACACATCTCACACTGCCTGAACTACGGAAAACTTTACAGGTGACATTTTAAGCAAAGTGCAAGTTCTGTGGTATTATAGTCTACTTTACAAAATGTTTAGTTTTATTTAGCAAGATTATTTTAATTAAAAGTTTTCATACTTTGGAAAAAGATTTAAAAAGACAGTTATATTGGAAGAGAATGACAGACTGTCTAGTTTACAGTCACAACCAGTTGCCAGCCTTTTTGTGTCTACAATGCATCATATTACAAATTTAGTAAATTTTGCTCTTGGAAGTAATTTAAATGAAAATGTTTATTCATATCAGAATGGATTAATCTAGTGATCCTTAGGCATTAGTGTTAGGGATGTATTTGGCCTGATTTTTTCAGTGGATATTAGAATATGGGTGTTGAATTTAAAGAAGAAATTTTAGCATTCTAATGTAGATTATTTTCTATAAAAATTATCAAAAATATTTTGAGTTTGTGCATTTTGGCAGGAACATTTGAAACCCTAATATTGAGGAAGTTATTTTCTTTGTTTGAACTGATACTTAAAAATTACTTTTTAAAATCTTTTCTTTTTTAATTTAATTATTTTTCTGTGTTATATGTATTCATTTTCATCTTTAAACCTATTGTACCATCATTACTGTAATAATTATAGTCTGTATTCACCACAAATCTCACAAATTCTTTTTAGGGTAGGAACGACAAAATGGACTTTTACTCTCTACATGTCTGAAACTTTTACTAAAGGTCCATTTTTCCTCTTAATATTACCTTCATAGTAAAGGTAGGATATGGAGATTTCATTAAAAGGCATTCCAGTTCTTTCCAACAGATTCAGTCTTACTTCAGAGAATCTAATTACACGTCCTTGCTTTTTTATAATGCTGTAGAATACACTGCTATAGAGCTGCCCTCAACATTCAGATACAAGAAAAGTAATAATTTTCATAGTTGAAAGTAAAGTGAATTTGAAGTGTATTATTCTGTAGTATTACCATCCTGGCAATGTTTTTGAAGTGCTTCTTGATAAGAGAAGATTGAGAACTTTTTGCCTTAATGCTGACTTACAAGGAGAATTGCCTCTTTGATAGTTAGATCTGCTATAGCACAACAGATGAACTTGGCTTCTCTCTTCTTGAATTTAGATATTGTTCACAAAAAATATGTTCACAAAATACCTTTTTCTGAAATTTTTAAGTTCTTGTTTTTAGTGATATCAAATAAGACATCAGTGATCCTGAGAGTGTGACACTTAATAAGAAAGAGGATCCAAGGAGCATGAAAGAGCAGAACTCTTTACTGAATCCTTGCATGCCACAGGGGATAAACAGGTTTCAGAACTGCCTTCTAATTTGTACCAATATAGAGCTTAGCATGGTGCACGTGCCACTGCACCAAGATTTGGTCAAACACAGAATTGCACAGCAGCCCCTCTAAGTTCATTTTTCTAGAATACCCACCAAGTCCAATCTCCTGTGTACACTTTCTGCTAGAGCATGACAACAGCGCTCTAGGGCTGCTGAGACTGACACCACAGATTTCAAAAAGGAATTGGGATGTTTTATTTTCTCTGGCTCAGTTAGGAAGCTGAAAGTATATTGTGAAAAAAGCAATTTCCTTAAGTGTACAAAATATTTTTATATACCTAGCATTCATATTAACGTGAATATTACACTACTGATCTCCACTAAATAAAAATATTTCCCATTATCTTAAAGTACCTCTTTTTGTAGCACGTTAATAGACTTATTGCAAATGCCAGAATTTCATATTTTGTTGTATAATTACACATGGACTAGACAAAGGTTCCAGTATTTCTCTGGAATGCTGTTCACTCCTTCCTGTAAAAAGCTGATTTTGCCTTAAGCGTTCCTTTTTTTCTCATCCACACCTCCGCTGGCCCACACACCTGAAAAATCTGTAGAAGTTTCTTGCATTATCAGTAGTATACTGATTTGACCTGGCTAGAGCTAAATTTCTCCATGATGTCTAGTAAGGAGCTGTGTCTTGGATTTGTGCTGAAAACAGTGCTGATAAAACATAAGTGTTTTAGTTATTGCTGAAGAGCGCTTACACAGAGTCAAGAGCTTTACTGCTCCTCACTCCACCCCACCAGCGAGGCAGCTGGGGATGCACAAGAAGTTGGGATGAGACATAGTTGGGACAGCTGATCCAAACTGATATAAGAGGAAACAGAAAATCACAGAATGGGTAAAGTTTGAAGGTACCACAGTGGGTCATCTGGTCCAACCTCCCTGCTCAAGCAGGGTTATCCTAGAGCACGTTGCATAGGACTGTGCCCAGGTGGTTCTCGAATATCTCCAGTGAGGGAGACTCCACAACCTCTCTGGGCAATCTGTCCCAGTGCACACTCACTCTCACAGAAAATAAGTTCTTCCTCATATTCAGTTGGAGCTTCCCGTACATCAGTTTCTGCCCATTGCCTCTTGTCCTATTGCTTGGCTCTGAGAAGAGCCTGGATCCATCCTCTTGACACCCTCCCTTCAGATACTTACATACGCTAATGAGGTCCCCTCTCAATCATCTCTTTTCAAGGCTGAAAATGTCCAGCTGCCTCAGCCTGTCCTCATAAGAGAGATGTTCCAGCCCCTTATTCATCTTCATAGCCCTCTCCTGGACCCGCTCCAGAAGCTCCATGTCTCTCTTGTACTGAGAAGCCCAGAGCTGAATACAGTACTCCATATGGCTTTACTAGGGCTGAGTAGAGAGACTGGATCTGCCAATACCATATGGCTTCACGCTCAGGATGTAAAGCTGGGGAAGAAGGAGGAAGCGGGGGTACGTTCACACCGATACCATTCATTTTCTGGGTAACTACTAAACGTGATGGAGCCCTGCTTTCCTGGAGATGGCTGAACACCCGCCTGCCCATGGGAAGCAGTCAATAAATTCCTTGTTTTGCTTTGCTTACATGCATGGCTTTTGCTTTGCATATTAAACTGTCATCTCAGCCCATGAATTTTCTCACTTTTCCCTTTTGTTTCTCTTCTCCATCCTGCCATGGGGGTGCATAACTGACTGTGTGGTGCTTAGCTGTCTACCAAGCAGTGGGCTGTAACTGCTTACAGAGAGATCTATGCACATTGTTTGCCAATTAGTATTTTGAGAAGTTTGGATGGAAGTTGTGGCACGCACTTAAAAACATAAAAGTGCACCATCATATCTCTCATAGAGAATGTCTTCAAAAATATTTTGAAGAATTTTATGTCTTTCACCATTTATCAAAAGCCCCTGCATTTCAATTTCATTTTGAGAAAATAAATATTACAGTTAGATCACAACCAAGACGCATCTCATTTTAGTTCTATATTCCTTTTGGAGGAAACCTGTGTTATTCAACTTTATAATCACAAGGTAATAAAGTTAATCTTGAAATTTCAATTTCTGCATTTCTTGCCAGCTGGTCCTAAAAACCTTCTCGCCCTACTATAATTACAGATGTCATTATTTTATATTTATAATTTATCATTATATATTTCAATATAACCCTAATTTTTGGCATTTAAACCTATAGGTAATTACAGTTGGATAGTCTTTACTGGTAAATATATTGAACTATATGAACAATCTATGTAAATAAAAGCAATTTTTCTGGAATTATTGATAAATAAACTTGGCTAGTTTGAGTTTAGAATTTAAAGCTTAGTTGCATTTTCTGTTTTTTTTTAAACAGGTGATAGATGTGAAGTTAATACAGATGAATGTATGTCTTCTCCTTGCCTCAACAATGGAAGTTGCATTGATGGCATCAGTTCCTATAGGTGTCACTGTAAGAGAGGTTTCACTGGACAAAACTGTGAGATAAATGTTAATGAATGCTTGCCAGATCCTTGTCTTCATGGAAGGTGCCTATTTTTATTTAACTATTATTATCTCCAAGTAATGCACCTAACTAGCAATATTTAAGATTTAATGATATGGGAAGGTTGATAAATATACTTTTAATTATGTTCTTCCATAAAGTAAGAGTACAAGCACACTTAAAGATGACAGATGTTGCCTGCTTAAGCTAATGTAATATACTGTTACATTATCTCGGTTTCTCTTTCATTTTTGTTCATTAGCATAAACCAGTATTCAGTATATGTGGAATAATTAGTTTAATATACTTAAAAGTGAATCTTTAGCTGCTACAAGCCAACAGGTTGAAATGGGAAGATGTCTTTTAATATAACAATCAGTATCCTTACAAAATGCCTCAGCATCCATAATACACACATTTTAAATCCATTACTAAAACTAATTAAATTACCATGGATTTCAGTGCGTTATGTCAAACCACTATTTTGAAATTTATGAAATGTTACTACTGGTGCTGAATATGGAATTACGTAGCTTCATCTGAATAACTCTGTTTTGTATTTCAGATGTATAGATCTCATTGATGGGTATCAATGCTCTTGCGAAGCAGGATGGACCAGTTCAAGATGTGAGATAAATATTAATGTATGTCTTAATTTTTTTTAAATTATAGGAGAAAGGGTAATATGTCACTTGAAACTCATTTTTATTTAGTTGACTTCTGAAGTCAGTTTATTGAAAATGCATGACAGAAATTCATTTTTTTAAAATCCATTCTGAAAAGCTAATTATTTGTTGTTTATATGACACTGCATTAGAAAAGATCATTGATAAAATGTCTAAAGAAGTCTAAATGTGCAGTGTGAATGATAAATCTGAAAGGCCACAGCAAGCTAAGCCAACATTACCTGAAAATCATTTTTCCATGAGTTTGGGATAGATAGGGTAATTACCTAGTTTGCACTGAGAGTCCCACTTGATGTAGCTTAGCTGTATATTTGAATAATGAACATCAAAGTGCAACGTTCTACATTGAAAGTTGCCATGACTTGCCTTAAAATTTCAAAATTCAGGCAATTATAGAATTCTATGATACAAAACCATGGTGTACTAAATATATTGCCCACTTTCTCCTCTGAAGTTCATTAATAATTTTGTGTTAACATGTGGACAAGAAGGCATCCATATATCCAAGTCTGTGATGTGTAGATTCCCATGGTCAGCAAACTTGTAGAAGGTGACTACATCTGGCAGAACACTGAACAGTCCTTACAATATTGACCACACTTTGCAGAAAGTATTGAACTGATTTAGACTTTCTCAGATTTTTTGCCAAACAGAGTTTGATCAATCTTTGGATATGATCCTCTTAAACGTATTTGGTCTCATAAGAAAGTCTGGCATGAGATCTGCCTCTCATGTGGGCTATCTGGCTTCTAATATTGTGCTTCTGAATCGTCAAAAAACATTCCAAAATGTTATGCAAACTTCTTTTTAGTTTGTGTTTGAATGCAGGTACCTTTCATAATTTTTTATTTACAGCTTAAAGTACTAGATAACTAAAAATATATTATGTAAAGGAAGTATGGTCTATAATTCTTCCGTTGAAAATGCATGAAAGTCTCACACGGGGAATAAATCTAGCTGAAATATTAGTTTCCAACTCCCTTTACAGAGAGAAAAAGTCAGAAAATAAGTAATTCAGCTCTACAGAGTGTGCATCATGATATGATATTGCAAATCTGTATGATTATCAGCTGTTGCCAATGCTAATACAAAATACTCTTGGGTAATATTTTCTCTAGCAACATCCATGATTTACACTTTTCTCCATTTTAAGAGAATGAGAGATTAAATGACCTGTAGACAACTTCATAAAATTATATTCAAAAAATAACCATATTTCAAACTTAGGTGTTTGAAAATGCATAGATTAGAAATTCATAGGAATTATGAAACAATATACATATACCTTTGACAGATAAGTCTGTCAGAGTGATGGCTTCATCTTTTGATAGTCATTCTATTTGCATGCAGTGTGATTCCCAGATTAGACTATGCTGCAAATGTCATATTTTAAAGACCCTAACAGTGTATTCATCCTACTCAGATATATATCATGCCTATGCAACTCTTACAGTGATCAGCTAGGTTTTCTGACTATGTAAGGTTGTGCATATCTTGAAAATCATGGCAGGCTTATGCTCTGTAATTGTTTTATTCTAGATTAAATTCAGCCACTTCCTTTATTTTGAAATACAGTCATAACTTAATCCATATCAATACATATATATATATTCTTCACTTGAAGGTACATTTCTTTGTAACAATGGCTATGCAAATTCATTGTGTGTAGGTGCCAAGGTTTTGTTTAGAAGGGGTGCTGCAGGAGTGGCCTCTGTGATAATGGTCCAGGGGTGGCCCTGTGCTGGAAACAACCCATTTGAGTCAGCTCCAACCAACCTACTGCAGGGTACAGCTGAGCCACTCACTCAAGATGGTGGCACATTTGTAGAAACATATTTAAGAAAGAGTAGAAAACTGCCCAGCAGAGAGAGGAGACCTTAGCAGTATCAAAGGTCATTGAAGAAGGAGAGGTAAGAGGTGCTCTGGACACTGAAACAGAGATTGTAGGAGCTGTAGCCCCTGGAGAAAATGATGGTGGAGCACGTATTTGCCAGTAGTCCATGGAGAGGACCATGCCAGAGCAGACATCTGCACTGAATCCCATGGGAGACCCCATGCTACAATATGCGACATGCCCTGAAAGAACTGCAGCCCACTGAGTGCCTGCACAGCAGCAGGGTCTAGGCAGAAACCATGACCCACGGAGAGGAGCCTATGCAGAAGCAGTCTTACCCTACATCACAGGAAGAGGACCCACACTGAAGCAGGGGAATACTATGAGAAGGAAGGAGCAGCTGAGAAGAGCTGGTGCAAACAACCACCCCCTTTTCCCGCTCTGTCTGCACTTCTCAGGGTAAAATGAGGAGGCAGAAAACTTTTGAGATAGAGACGTGAAGTTGAGCCTGGGAAGAAGTGAGGTGTAGTTTTAGGTTTTGTTTCTGCTTCTCACTGTCTCAAAATCTATTTCTAGTTACAATAACTTAAATTATTATTTAACCCATGTCAAGTCTGTTTTACCTGTGACAGTAAATGGTAAGTGATCTCTCTGTCCTTATCAGTCTAGGAGCTTTGACACCTTATTTTCTTTCCTTGTCACATAGGAGGAGGGAGAAAATGGCTGGGTGGTCATGGCAGAGTCAGGCAAGGTCAGCAACTAAGGTGATTCAAAGAACCAATTTAAAAATGAAATATATTTGTGTGTGTATATGTATTTCCCTAGACATACTTGGATTTATTTTTTTCTACTTTTTTCTCCTGAATTTTTTCAGCCTTTATCTATGCTGCAATATAGTTTGCAAGAAAATACACTTCAAAACTTTCTCAGGTTGTGTAATACTTTTAGCAAAAAAATAAGCACTTTATAGTTATAGCCTGTAACTTTTTCATATCTAATATGGAGTGTGGATATTGAAACTTTCCTATCTTCTACATTTTTCATTGCTTTTTCATTTATAGAATTCACTCAAGAAAGAGTAACAGAAAAAAATATACGCTTTATATGAATCAATTTCAATACACATGATTTCCTTTGACATTAGCATATTTTTGAAAGAGTAAAATGAATGTACATAACTGAAAATTGATCTTTTCTCTCAGATAGATTGCCAATATGTGCAGTAATAGCAATTATGGTTAGAAATAGAAACTTTTTGGGGTTTTTTTTTCTTTGCTATGACTGATAAGCATCATTGGTAATTGTTCTTCTTGCATGCTCAGTTAAGGCCGTCTCATCCTGTCAAAAAGGGAGCAAAAAGCATTTTGAGTCTTTACGCAGGAAGATATTCAACTTGTTGGTGCTTCTGCTTGTATCTAATAGAAAGCTGTAATCAGACCATCCTAGAGCTGTTTTATTTTATCTGGTTTTACTGATCTTTTCTCTCTATTTTCATAAAAGATAGGATTAAGGGGGAAATCAGGAAAATCAACCAATTTTCAACACAAAGGCACCACAGCTTATACAAAGGCTGAGAACAATATGCTGCTACTCTAAGCAAATAAGCAGAACTGGCCAAATTGCACAGAAGACATGAAACGTGACAGCGATATAATTATCTGTGATTTGATTCAGAAGAACAGTAGGATTCATCTTGCCTAACTTGAGATGTCTTTGTGAAAGCTAGCTGCCTGTGCACTTATTATAGTCAATGAAAACGTGGTGAATATTCAGAGCAATCCGCAGAGCTGTTCAGCTGATTTTGAATTGGACATCTGCATTTCCTTAGTGAGTCTAAACTTCACTCACTGGGTCTTCATGGACTATTTTTAAGTAAGCCAGAAAGTGGAATCCCCTCCCCAGAATTCTCTCTGTATAGACGTAGCATATATTTGTATAACAAACATCAGTGTATGTATTAAGAGCCTCAGATGAGCTGGATGTTTGTTTGTGCCTCTGTGGGATTTCTCTACGCTCGAGTATTTTTACCTATTGCTAACTAGTTCAAGGAGTGTTGAGCAAGGTAAGTAGTTTCTTGAAAGAAGCTAAACTAATATAAACTTCTAAAAATTAATGTGGCTTATGCTCAAGATGCAGATAGGTAAATCTAACAGCAGAAGGAGAGGGAGATACCCACTTTATTCTGCAAAGTACAGCATCTGTGATTACAGACCCTTGGGAAAATTTCAGTGGCTGTAACACTTCAGGGACCTCCAGGCCTTCAGATTCAAGTTTATGTTAAGGAAGAGTGACTGAATTGAAGACTTTTAAATAGAAAGCAATTAAAAAGATAAATTAGAGAAGAAGAGAAATTAATAAGACCTACAAGAATGTTACAAAGAAATTTCACTTCCAAAGTGCTAAGCTCTCTGAGAACATTCCACTGATAGTCATATTTCTGATCCCTTACATTAGAAAATCCTATCAACTGATATCATAGTATGCTTTTGCATCAAGGGTGTTCTAGCAACAGAGACTATCCTAAAAATTAGGACTGTGAAATTATTATATTCAATTTCAGGAAAAGGAACTATGTAAAAGTGAAGACCACAAGAAACTAACAAGCATATTAAAGGCTAATAAATAATGTTAAAAGCCCAGGTAAAACGTGTGCTACAACTGAAGAACACAAAGTGGTCCAAAGCCCCTTATTGGATTAAGAAGGAAACTTAAGTCTGTCACAAGGAAAAATTGTAATTTTAACAAATGGAAAGCTTGTCCATGTGGAAATAACAGAGAAGTCCTTTAAACATGTTAATTCAAATGCTAGCAGGAAATTCAAAAAGCTAAAACAAAAACTGGAAAATACCTTGTAAAGACCACTCTAACTTGCAAAAAACTCTTCACACCTATCAAAATCCGGAAGTCAGGTAGGGAATTGTTGGCATTGCTTGATGGTTAAAGTGCAAAATGGGCACTCAGATGGGGTAAGGTCATAGCAAGAGAAGCTCAGTGAGTCCTTTGCATTCAAGGAATGCCAGAAAGACCTCACAAAAGGGAAGAGTGAAGAGCTGTCAGATAAGCTTCAGTGTAAAGAAATATTCTAGAAGGAAAAAGCCACATATAGCTGAATTCAATTGTCAAT